TTCAGCTTTAGAGCCGAGGAGGACCAAGGAGAGAAGGCCTAGGACAGGCAAGTCCTCGGCTTATGACCACAACCGAACCTAAAATTTCTGTTGCTAAGCGAGACAGTTGTGAATGTTGCCCCGTTTTATGACCTTTCTTGCCACAGTTGTTAAGTGAATCACTGCAGCTGTTCCTAAGTGGGTTGGGAAGTGAAGCTGGCTTCACCAATGACTTGGCTGATCGGAAGGCAGCCAAAGGGCATCTGGTGACCCCGGGAATATTGCGACCGTCATAAGTGCAGGCCAACTGCCAAGGGTCTGAATCCTTGGATCTCTTGGGGGGACCAGGGGGGTGCTGTCAATGGAAACAATGCTCATCAGCCCCCTTTCTCAGTGCCCTTGTCACTTGAAACATTCACTAGAGCAGTGTTTCTCAACCTTGGCAACTTGAAGATGTCTGGACTTCAAGTCCCAGAATTCCCCAGCCAGCATTGGGGGTGGGAGGGGGCGGCGCTGGGGCAAAGACCCCCCCGAGGCCCCCCAGGAGACCCTGCCTCCTTCCCGCAGTGTTTGTGATGGAGTATTACAAGGACACCGTCTGGAAAGGCCTCCTGGGCTTCGTCATTTCTCTCATCGCCAGCATCTTCTACTTCAAGACGACGTGGGTGAGTCCTTCTCCATGATCCGACTGGGGGCCCCAGGACCCCCTTCCAGCCCCACCCTTTGGGGGCCGCTCCTGGTCTTAGGGACCGCTGGGGGCCCAGACAGGAGGGCCCAGGGCTGGGAAGCCGGGGAGTTGCTGGCACAAACCCCCAGAGGGACCCGGCAGCCTCTGCCTTGGACTGCAACTCTGCAGCCATCTGCCCCCAACCCAGCCTCCCCCCCCCCGGCCCCCGAATGCTGGGTGCTCCACTTGCGGATCCTGCTCAGGACACAGCGCAGGAAGCCAGGCAGGTCCCTGTCCCCGGCCCTTTGCCCAGCCGAAGAGCGAGGGGTTTCTCCAGGGGTGGCAAGGGGCTCCCTGGGGATCGCCCTGGGTGGGTCTCCTGTGGGGGCTTCCTTCCAGACCTTTCAGGACACGGTCAGTGCTGGAAGGGAGGGGGGGTTGTGGGGAGGAGGAAGAGGAGGAGGAAAAAGAAGAAGAGGAATGGAGGGTTCTGACCTCAGTAGTTTTCTTGCAGACATTTCATTACCCAGCTAGGTAACATCAGCTGGGCTAGCAGGAGTGGGGATTGCAGAGCTGAGAAAGAGGAGATTTCCATGGCTTCCCGGCTTTCCCTGCCTGGGTGCCCCCCACCTTTGTTCCCGAGCTCCTCCTGGCTGGGCTGGCCTCCCCCGGGGGGGGCCCTCCCGCTCCCTGAGCCTGGCTCTCCCCCTGCAGGGATACCAGGACCTCTCGGCCTTCGTCATCTTCGCCCTGGTGGCCAGCCTCTGGGTGCTGCTCAGCAACCTCTGTAAACGGCGGCTGATCATCAACCACCTCCGGGAGTTGTACCAGTTCTACATCCGGGGCATCCTGTGGCACGAGGGGCCCCTGCACCAGATCTACGTCCGGCTGGTCGGCCAGCGAGACGGTAACCCCCCACCCCCACCCCGGGGCCCTGGCGTCTCCTATCCCTCTCCCAGACCTCTGGCCACAATGGAGGCCAAGATTTCTGTCGCCAAGTGAATTTTGCTCCGTTTTATGGCATTTCCTGCCATAGTTGTTGAGTGAATCACAGCGTTGTTCAGTGAGTCTCACTGTTGTTAAGTGAATTTGACTTCCCCGTTGACTTTGCTGGTCAGGTCACAAACAGGGATCATGTGATCAGGGGGCACAGCGACCGTCATAAATAGGAGTCAGTTGCCAAGCACCTGAATTTTGACGACGTAACCATGGGGACGCTGCATTGGTGGAAAGTGGCCATAAGTCACTTATTCAGTGCCATTGTAACTTTGGATGGTCACTAAGTGAACTACAGGTAGTCCTCGACTTACTACCACAATTGAGCCCAGCATTCCGCCGCTAAGCAACAGTTGTTAAATGAATTCTACCCCATTTTACAACCTTTCTTGCCACAGCTGTTAAATGAATCCACTGCAGCCATTCAGTTAGTAATACGGCAGTTAAGCAGATCCGGCTCCCCTCTTGATTCCACTCGGTCGCAAAACAGGCCACTGCAGCCGTCATAAATAGGAGTCGATTGTCAAGTGCCTGAATTGTGACCATGGGGGGAATGGAGTGACGGTCGTACCTGTGAAAAGCGGTCACAAGTTGCTTTTCTCAGTGCTGTTGCAATTCGGTCACTAAATGAATCGTGGTAAGTCAAGGACTGCCTTTATCTTGCTTGCGGGCTGTGCATCTGATCCGATCAGCCCTTCGGAGCCCTGGCCCTTGCGATGGGTCGAGCCCTGGAGGACAGAAGCTCCTCTCAGCTGAATGGACGGTGGGGGGGGGGGCACCAGGCTCAGACACACAGGAGACCTGAAGCCCCCCCCCCCCCCCCCCCCCCCCCCCCCCC